TAACATGCTCACCACATATATTATCCACAATGAAAAGTAGATGCAGGAGCACAATAAATCAGCTGTTATTTTCAAAACTATAAATCAGTTAGTTGGTTTGGTTGAATGCAGGTCTTCCCCGTGGTTTATTGGGTCCCTCACCTGACCTTTCATGTTCCCTTAGCTTTCACTAGTTTCTTTGAGTCACATGCCTGGTTTTAGATTTCATCATATAAGTGTTTTCTTTTCCAGTTGTAGCACATGCTAGCATATTGCTGCTTACCTTTTCAACCCAAACTTATAATATAATCTGTTAATTCTTTCATGGAAAAAATAATGAATCTGTTATTTTTAAATATTGTTTTAATTAGTTCATCCCAACTCAGGAAACACCACATGTAAGTTTTGTAAAGTTTTACAATGGGCTAAAGTGATTTAAAAAAAAAAAAACCTTTAATATGATTCAGTCTCTGCTCAACTTACACGTGCTTGTGCCAGTCCGGTTTATAAGTTAGAAAAAGTGATGAGATATATTCCTATGTGTGGTGTTAGGTTTATAGTGTTGTTTCAAACTGTCTCCCAGTTTTTCAGTAACAGGAATAGGGAGTCTTTTAGCTGCCCCTGCTCCCTAAGGAGGATTGTTACTGCTGAAGAATGACACAAGAGGCCTGCTTTTGTCCCCACAGATTCAGTGGGTAGCTACAGCTGTAGACCCACATGCTGCCACATAGGAACCAGAGAGCCAAACACAGCCTTCAGCTCTCCTCCATGCAACCTCTATAGGACCATTAGGCGGATTTCTGGATATCTATCAGTAATTAGTCCATGTCACCAGAGACAATAGTTCAATAAAAAGGAAAATATTTTCCAAGATGACTGATGAAGTAAATCTCTGGTTACCAGAATTGCTTCACTGACTATGATATTTTCATGAATATAAGCGTATGCTACTGCATCATCATCCCTTCTTTAACATGTGCTAGGTAAAATAGGTATTAGCATGTTTTTCCCCCCTGTCAGTAAAGCAGAGAAATGATTTTAGGTTTTTACTTAAACCTATGATAATTTTTCCCAAGAGACTTTTTTTATTAGTTCAGATTAGAAACAAGGATGTTTCACATGTCAATCTCTTCTCCCTCTCCCTCTTCCTCCCCTCCCCCAACCCTCCACCAGCACCCTACTACATCCTCCCTCTGCTCCCCAGGGAGGGTAAAGCCCTCCCATGGGGGTTCCCCAAAGTCTGTCATAACCTATGATAAATTTTAAGTATTGGGAGACAATCCTAAGTTTCATGAGAAGTAATAAGCATTGCTTATAAATAGCTGGATAATCTAAATAGAATTTGAGGATAGTGGTTATTATTTCATAGTATCTATGCACATGTGTATTTAAAATTCTGTATTACTTATTTGGTCATGCTTTGCCAAATAATGGAGGGATTAACAAGTGAAGCACTGGTTACCTAGCAACCTCCAAGAGCCAGAGTTGCTCTGTTTTATGTATACAAATATAGCTGACCCAGCATAACCCTCTGCAGGAGGTAATATTATTATTTCTATTAAAGTATAGACAACATGGAATCGGCAAGAGCTGAGTCCTACCTTTCAAAGACTTTGGGAAAATTAAACTATTCTGAGCTTTAAGTTTTTGTCTGTAAAGTGAGTCTAGCATTCAGAACTTTGCACATAATACACACAAAACTAAGTCTACTTTTCTTTTCAGCAAACTGATGAGAAAGAAACACAGCCTTTAATGTTACAAAATAATGCATTTGTATTTGTGAGATCTTTGTCAGTATAAAGTGTTTGAAACATAGTAGGTTCTCAATAAATGAATGTTGAGTGAAAAATAAATAAAAACATACAGAAATTTGCCAAAAGGCTCTAAATATGCCCATGGTGGTGAAATATTGTGAATAGTTGCTTAGGTTAAAACACTAGCATTATCTGGTTAATTCATCCTAGATGATTAAGTCTCCTTGAAGATAAAGTCCTTAGGTGTGATCTTCGAAATTTTTCCAACCAGTGGCTCAAGAACAGCAAACCATTTGCAGCAGTTAGAATACACACCTCCTAGGGCAAAGATGACCTTGGCAGTTTCCAAGGGATGATAAGTAGTTTGCTGATCCTAGTAGGTGGAGTGATGCTTGTTTTCATGAACATCTACAGTTCATGTCAATAGTTCATAAAGGCACCCAAGACTTGAAACTACTTGCATGTATAAAACTTGTATATATTTGTTTTGAATCATTGAAGAGAAATTATTCTTAAGATGTATATTTTGGTTTGTGATAACTTAGAAATAAATCATCAATGTTTCCTGCCACATCATGTTCCCATTGCTTTGGCTAATGGTGTGCTGCTTTGGAAGACAGCGGTGCTGATGGGTGACGGGTGGTAGGAAAGTTGGGGAGGACTGTGGAATGAGAATGAAAACCTCAAATAAAAAACCAACCACTATCCAGGTGTTGGTGGTGCACACCTTTAATCCCAGCACTTGGGAGGCAGAGGCAGGCAGATCTCTGTGAGTTCGAGGCCAGCCTGGTCTCCAGAGCGAGTGCCAGAGTAGGCTCCAAAGCTACACAGAGAAACCTTGTCTCCAAAAACAAAAAACAAAACAAAACAAAACAACAACAACAAAAAACAACCACTTAACCCAGGACCTAAGACTGGACTTAGCTGAATCCAACTTTGATATATTTTCCCCACTAAAATGGTGCTAACTTTAGAAATAAGGAGATTTGGTTTGGATTTGTTTGTGGGTTAAAGAGGTCATTGCACTCAAGAGTTAAATTATATTCATCTATGTCATACTCTTGACTTATTTCCACTACTTTACTAAAATGGGAATTATTCCCCCACGGATTAAAAATTAAGAATTAAAGCCATTATAGCCAGAGGTATTATGTCCTCATTAACCTAATTAAAGGCTGACTCATTTTCACCATCTTTATTGGTGGGCAGCCAGGTTTGCCTCCCTGTGTTTGCTCATGCCCTTTCTGATCTTCTTATCATCAGCAGGAATAGTCTTCATGGGCAATGGTAAATTTCTCACCTCTTGTGGGATGACGTCATCCCATCTGTATGTTCCACGCAGATTTATTTCATGACCCCGGGCAGCACCCTACATCCAGGCTTTATTTGCTCAATAGCCTCTTTGCTCTCTGCATCCTGGTTTGAGTAACTGACATTTATTTTTACTTTGATATCTGAACCACAGAGCCTACCAGTGGGATTCTTGCTGGGATACATGCCAGGCCAGTTCTGGCAGACTGCATTGCAAGGCACCAAGCTTAGACAGAAATCTTGCGAGCCCCCTGAAGCTTTGCAGCAGTTCTATGTTAACAGGAGCTAGCCATGAGAAACATTTTATTTTAGGAAGGTAGGAGTGAATAAATGTGAGTATCCAATAAGCTGAAAAAAAAAGGAAAAGAATTGCTCCTCTTTCTTTTCATCCCCCAAAGATTGCCAGTGACACTCCTGTACCATGTGCGGTCCCTCAGCCTTTCAGAACTGATGGAGTCCAGATGGAATCTCAATGTGAACTTACTGGCTGTGGCCAGTCTACCCTTGACCCCATGCATTTCTATGTCCTCTGAGAAGAGTCTGTGGAATAATGAGGCTATCAACCAAGTCCACAGGCCGGAAAAGGCCTTTAAACATTGACTTCAAAGACTAGATCATAATTTGAGAACTGCAATGTAAACAGAGAGGAAAAAAGGAAAAGGGTGATTTTAAGCTGCTAGCAATTAAGCACTAATTAGGCTCTTCATTTGTGCAGCAGCTTCACTGCTACCTTCCTGGAGTGAATAGGACTTCCAGAGACTAATTTCTCTTTGTGAAATTAAGCCACAATTTGCACACTAACCTTCAGTAGAGTGGTACACTGTAAGCATAGCCAGGTCTAGGTTACTAATTGGATTTCTCAATGTCATCTAGAGTAAAAACTCAATGAAATGGAAGGTAGAGATAGAACACCACATGTATCCCAGTTAGCACAGTTCTGGTTTGTGTACAGAAACGTGAGCAACAGCAGAAGCAAAAACCAACTGAACTGGCTTCTTTCTCTTAGAACTGATGGACTTTTCCTGTTTCAAACACTGTGAAAGAAAGTTCTTTTCCATTTACTCCATCAACTGGAGAATTTCCCTAATAGAACTGTTTATTGTATCTTTGATAACACCGTCTTTGGAATTCTTGCGGTTTAACATACAGACGTAGAAAATAGGCAAGAGTAGTGGAGCCGTGTCAACATCCCTGTTATAGTTTGGCAATAAATTGCAGGCTTCAAATTTCATTTTCTAAAGTGTTTTTCTGTCCATACAAATGGAAAACATTAGATAATTTGAGTCACTGCCATTTCTTGTTATATTGAGGTCTTGAGGGTGTGCATGCGTGATCACGTGACTACTGCAGCCAGGTCTTAAGAGGGGCTGGCAGTTACTATGATTGAAGAATTGCTGTTATTCCAACAGCTGTGTTAAGTATCTTTTATATCCAACCCACTGCAGGTTATAAAATGTTCAATGCTATAGAAGGTAATGGGAGATGTATAGTATGAAAGACATGGCATCAGACTTTCTCTCAAAAGAGAAAGATTGATTCAAACAAAGTCAATAGCATATTCAGAACAAGTTAGATCTCCAAATCTGCCTTCACTGTTTGAAAAGAGCTTAAGGCTCTATTTGAGGACTTTGCTTGAAAAAAAAAAATGTTTAAAGGAAAGTTTCAGAATAGCCTAGATATGGGAAAAGGTAGCAACAGGGCTCATGGTAACCAGTAGAGACATGGCATCAGGATCAAGTTCATTTTCTTTCCAAGGAAAATCTGCTTCCATGGCCTTCATTTCCTTTGGTCTTATTCTTTTGCTGGTAGTTTCAGACCTGCGATTGTGGTGTGATGGGGTTCTCCTCCAAATAATAAAGTGTAGATGGTGGACGCTTAAGCAACTCTTGATAAAGCTCACACATTTCATGTCAATAGAGATGGCATTTCACCATCAAACTTTCATTTCATTTACAGAAAAACCCAAAGTCGCTGTGATGCCCAAGAACCAGTCTTTCACAGGAGGATCTGAGGTCTCTATCATGTGTTCTGCAACAGGTTATCCCAAACCAAAGATTGTCTGGACAATTAATGAGATGTTTATCATGGGTTCACACAGGTACTGGGTTTGTATCATCTTCTTTGTTTTTATTGAATGAGAAAGGTTGATGGAATTTTGGGACAAAGTGAATCAGACCCTATCCTTAGTATTAAAACTTTATGAAAATTTATTTACTTTCTACTTTCTAAACAGGTTTGGAGATGTCCAAAAAACAATGCAAATGGTGACTTTAAAAAGTATGAAGTTAATGCTCACTTGGCCTGGACACATGGGGGAGGGCCTAGGCCTGGCCCAGGGTGATATTTTGGAATTTGGGGGACCTTACCTTCTATGGGGAGCAGAGGAGCAAGGGGGAGGAGGCTGGTGGGGAGTTGGGGGGGAGAGGGAGAAGGGATTGACATGTGAAATTATAATTTGTAAAAATAAAAATAATTTGAAAAAAAGTGTGAGGTTACTAATCTTTAATTGCAATAGTTAAGATCATGTCTTCTCCAATCTTTTGAGTTGTAAACATGACACCATGACTTGTTTTGTTTGAACTTGAGCTGAAATGGGATAATAAACTTTTTCTTGGGGGAAATATCATATAATTATAAACAATCTATGTAAGGCATTGTCATGAACTTAGTGGGAAAAGAGGAAGACAGGGAGGACTGGAGGATACAAAAGAAGTTCCATCACAGGCTGCAGATATTCTTGATAGCTGCTTGCACTGTTGCTATAATACATAAGGAGTCTTTTACGGTGCTGTATACTTACTTCCTAAAGTGTCCTTTAGGCTCAGAAAGCAATAGATACATGGACCAGAAGCATCAGGGCTTCTGGCCATCACTCCTGGTTTGGCATGAGGGGGAGGCTTAGATTTGCTTCAGCAAACTGAGCCAGACTCTATACCCAGAACCATCACAGATTCTGTGGGTGATATAGGGGCATTACATCTCTCAGGTTTTCATGTTGAAGGACCCTTTGCTGAGCAGTTCACCATAGGAGCCAAGACTACCTGTGTGCAAATTCCAATGCTTCCATTTAATAACTCTGATTTTGAGAAAGTTGTTCGACCTCTTCATACATCTGAAAAACAATGACACTTGCATTATCATAGTCATTTGGTCACTGGGACGATTGAAAATTTTAATCAACAGATGTCCTCCATAACAGTCTCTGGCATAAAACCAGTTCTGGACACATGATATCTGTGATGGTTTTGTCAACTTGACCCAATCTAGAATCACCTGAGGAGAGTGTCAATGAGAGAGCACTAGATCAGGTTGGCCTATGCATATGCCTCTGAAGGTTTTTCACAACTGGGTTTTGAAATGGGAAGTCCCACTCTGAATGTAAGCAGCACCATTCATGGGCTGGGTCCTGAACTGTCCAAGTGTGAAAAAATAAGCTGAGCAAGAGGCATGAATGCATTCTCACTCTGCTCTTGTGGATGGGATGTGAAAAGCTACTTAGAGTTCCTACTTTGGCTCCCCATGGTGATGGAACATAACCTGGACTTGTATGCCAAATAAGCCCTTTCTCCACATATTGCTTTTTGTCAGGATATTTTATCAGAGCAACTGGGCTCAAAAATAGGACAGGATCTATTATTGTTTTATTATTATATTATTACTATTACATCTTTCCTTATAACATGATGCTCTTAATGATATCTGAAGTGGACAAAACTATAATTCTAAAATATTTGAAGGGGTTGCCATTGTGTCTTGATACTATAATACAATGCTATTGCAATATTTTAAATCTTACTTTATTTTTTTAATCCAAAGATATAGGATGACCTCAGAAGGCACTTTATTCATCAAGAATGCAGTTCCTAAAGATGCAGGGACCTATGGTTGCCTGGCAAGCAATGAGGCTGGAACTGATAAGCAGACTTCTACTCTCAGATACATCGGCAAGTATAATCAGTTTAAAAGGCAATGAAAACAGGGTGAATAGCATCATAAGCAATGGAAAGAGGCCTTCCTAAGAGCTAATGTTGGAGAGCAATCATACCCGATATTGTAATGTATCACTCATTTCCCGTATTGACTAAAGCAAATATTGTACATGAATGAGGAAACCTACTTGTCAACAGAAATCAAGGACATGGCCAGGTTGTGAAGGACTTCTAGACTGTCCACAGAATTATACCCTACCATGGTTCATTTTCAGTAATATTTCAAATTTCAAAATAAAAATTCTATGTCTTTTCTCATCTTACCTTCCATTTTATATTTATCTACTTATAATCAAAACTGAGTATCATATTATTTTCATGTTCCATCTACCATTTCCCTGTCAAACTTAAGGCATTTATTAAGGTGAATATAAGCTGTATATTATGATATTATTTGAGAGCATATCAGTATTTAATTTGAACTTCCAAATATTGGTTGAAAATGTCATGATGTGGTCAGTGTCAGGTTGAAGATTGTGAATAATTTATTTGGATAAAGAAATAATCTGCCTTTTTACCCACTTCAACTTGACTCCAAACACGGTAACACATTAAAACTGTCAGTGTTGAGGAAAGAAGTATAGGAAGCCACAATAAAAGTAGATGGTGGATTGGCATGGAAGCTGATGGAGGAATGAAATTGTCATGTCACAAGAGCCTGGACAAAGTGAGCATAAGACAGACACACGTGGAGTAATTATTTAAGGGAAGGTGGGTTCAGATTCAGAAATAACTGGATGAAAAATGTTCAAGAAAAACAGGTGAAGAGGTAACCAAGGAGGAGAATATGGACTCAGTGATGAAAACAGAATTCTGCATGGCAGAAGGAAATTTTGTTATCCACAGAGAAGCCAAATACTCGTGTTTCTTTGTTGTATAATACCCAAAGTACGCCAAATTCTCTGCTGGAGTTTGAGTGCTAAAACAAAACAGCCAACCAAAATCTATGCCACAGTGGTCCTTAGTCTTTAAAGGCTCCAATAATGGGAGTTGAAACATAAAACTATAAAAACAAAGCACAGACGATTGCCATGGGGATCTGGGGAAGGTCTGCAGAGCTCAGATGAATTCTGACCAGGGAATGTCAAAGAGTTCCCAAAGGGGATAGGATTTAAGTTAAATCTGAAAGAATGAATGGAATTTGAAGAGCCACTGTGGCAAAGGAGAGTTTGGGGAGGAGGGCCAAAGGCAAAGGCAGGAGAATGGGCAAAGGAGCCTTTGCTTTGTGTTTGGGGCTCCCAAGTAAAGCTCTGTACCCAGTGATAGGCCAGCAAGTCTACCAACGGGGAAGTTGAAAAGGAAACAGTTTATGGGTTTTGAAAGCCAAACTGTTCGAAAGCAGTGGGTATTGTTGGAAGGGTTTAGTGGGGGAATGTTGTAATCTTTGAGGAGAAAACTCTGAGTTTTGTTTAAAACCACCTCAGTTGAAGTTTGGAAGGTCTCAAACCATTTAGGTAAGAGAAAGTGTGTGAGCAAGCTAGTATCAAAAAACACTAAGTAAAACACTATGTACCACAAACATAAAGAAATAAACCTATTACAGGAATGGACACCCATATTTAGCATGGTGGGGAAGAGAAAAAAATGAAAGATGATTAATTACAGATTACAACATAAACACTCTTAAAATCACATAGAAAATAAGATCTTAATTCATCTATAATTGTATTAATATCAAGGTTTAATTTAGCTGATGCTATCAACACCATCCCTCTTTCAACTCCATTTTTATTTTTGTTGGCCCTTCTCTTCTGTTCTTTTATATTGTGGGTACAGGATGCACTTATTCGTCTGAGCCCAGTCTCCGTATAGATCACTTTTTCAGCAAAAGCTCTTAATTACTTTCCTACATTTTGCACCTTTGTTTCCTAGTCATTTGCTATGCTTTTGTCATTGTTTTTGTCTAATATCCTTGTTTTGGCCTCAACATTCATGTTTCCATCATATGCATCTGTACACATAAGTGTATGAGATTGCCTTTCTGCTTATAAATGAAAACGGAATATAGCACTGGTATAATGTTTGTTGATTCGTTCAGCGGTTCTAGATGTTGACTGCTTGATCTTTGTGTTTTTCAGAAGCCCCAAAGCTGGTGGTAGTTCAGAGTGAGCTCTTGGTGGCCCTTGGGGATACAACAGTCATGGAATGTAGAACCTCTGGGGTTCCTCCACCTCAAGTAAAGTGGTTCAAAGGTACATTTCTTAAGTATGTTTACGTTTGGCTCACTTCATTTGTTTTGTTTCTTTAAAGAAATGATTTGCTAAAAATTTGTTTTGGTGTGTGACTTAGCAGGCCTATAAAATGTGTTTATGATCTCACTGGAGACAATAGTTCACAATCCTGAACTCTGAATTTCAGGATGTGACATCTGGGATGGATTACAGGAGCGTGAAGTCAAAGCAGGAGAAGCCGGCCTTGCTAACCCAGCTGAACATTCTCTTTGTTAGTTTAGGACTGTTTCCTGTAAAAGACTGTCCAAGAATATTCGGTTGGCGTTTAAAACAGCCTCCCTGGTTTAAGTTCACCTTTCTTAGAGATGAGCGTTCGCACTTTTAAAGTGCTAGATCCTCAAGGATGCCTTCTGTAAATCGCTCAACTGCAGATACATATGGAAGCTCACAGGAAATTGACAGACCAGTGTATGTTCCTGGTCAGTTTCGGGGCATGCCCATCAGTTGCAAGACTGATATCTATGTTTTAATGTATGGATCTATTCTTGAGTCTATAACAAAGAACACGGTAATGCTCTGCTGGGCCTTAGTGAAGCTTGGTCTATGTACGGATGTTGATAGCCTGCATCTGTGTAAACACCCCTGCTTCTACTTCCCTCTCAGCTTTTCATGGTAAAAATAAAGAGAATGCTGTAGGCATTCTAAGAGAGAGGTTGCTAGGATTATTGAGATGCTGTTTGCAAAATACTTTTTTAATCTTCAGATGAAAAATGCTAAATAGCACAAAGCACTGTTGTTATGATTCTGTTTGTGAAATGATAGATGTTCCCATAGCAACAGGTTGATGTCATAATCACAAAATTATGAATTCACCTCGGGTTCAAACTTAGGGAACATGAGGTGAAAAGAAAAAGGCTTTGTGTCAAAACAATTATTTTTAAGTAATATAAATAAAAAGTAAGAAGGTGAACTAGGAAATAATGCCATTTTTCTGCTTTTCTTTGCACAAGGGTTTTTTAGTTTGTATGTTTTCCTTGATTAAAAAAATAGTATTTCTGGTTTCATTCCTTATTGAGGTTCCCTAATGAGTTCCTTATTTCAGTGACTGTAAACTAATTTTACTTATTAGAAATGCTTAAATATTTGAATTTCCACCTAAATGAATATACAACTTCAGATTCAGATTGTGGCTAAATAGACATAGAAAGTCAGTTTTTGTGTGACTGGATAGTTTCTGATGACAGTAAACCTCAGAAAGCTATGGCTGGCTCCTTGTGTAAAGTCATGGAAAGTCCTGTTCACAAACTAGGCATACTTCTGTGAAAAGCCTATTCTTCAAGCCAATCTCTGTTCCACAAAAAACAAGGAGGAGGTAGGGAATCGTGCAGCCACCACATGGAACATTCGGCAATTCACGTGTTTCCTCGATCCACCATAGAAACTGCAGATTAGTGCCTTCAATTAATAATATCCCAATGGATTCTAACCCACATGGGCATGAGATATTGATACCATAATACCATAAGACAGTCCAGTGCTTATTAACAGCACATTTCCCTGAACTACGTATCAGTCCAGCTCACCTTGTCAGTCACGGACAGGGAGTTTATTGCCTCAGAGGTCAGCATCACCAGGGGAAAACTAAAAGCTAAAGTTTTTCTCATGTGAGTCTGGCTCTAACACCTAAGAGTCGGAGGCTCTTGTATTCTGGGCACAAGGATACAAGGAAATCTGACCTCATTGGAACCATAGAAGTAGAGTTCCTGCTTTAACCTCAGAATAACTTTTCATTAAATGCATTTCTTAGGCAACTCTGCTTGAATAAAGTAGTGTTTAAAAAATATCTCATTCAGACCATTGGAGAAAAGAAATCCCATGAGGCAAAGTGCCCTCCAAGACTTTAGGCCTTTTGTTGCTAGAAATGAACAGTATAAAGTGGTTTTAAGAGAAAATCAGGGACACCATTAAAATCTTATGAAAAGGATATTTGTGGTGAAATAGAAAATTGGATTTCTTTATTGAGATGGATGGTTCTTAAATGTAGTTTGAAATCTCTGGGGGTTCCTTACTATTATTCGAAGGGATCCACATGCTCCAAATTATTTTCATAACAACACTGAAATGTTATTTGGCTTTTTACTTTTGTTGTCTTCCGAGTGAGTAGTGGGGTTTCTGGAGGCTGCATGATGTATGGTATTCAATAAAAGAAAAGTCAGAAGCACGGTTGAGCACCCAGCTGTCTTCTATTAAGCTGGACAGTAGACACTATGGAAATTTACAAAAGGGCAAAACAACGCTACTTTTCTTATTAATTTTTTCTGGTTTGGGAAAATACTATTTTTATAAAATGTATTTATTATGTAAGAATATATCATGAGTTTTAAATAAAATAAATTATGTGCATGTTTTTAAACTTCACAATATGATTTCTGAAATATTAAATGCAAATAAGTATAATCCATATAAATAAAAATTCGCTGGGTTCCTCAGTCATTTTTAAGGGGACACATGAGTGTCCTTGAGACAAACGTTTCTAACAGCAAGTTAATTACCATCAACTATTTGGAAAGTTTTAGTATTAAACTTTAAATACACAAAATCAGAATTGAATTTATATGATAGCAATGTGAGGCTCTTCCTCAATAATGATAATTGTTAAATCCTAAAACAGATCTTTAGAAAGTTTATTGTTTTACTAAGTACAATGTTCTAATTGTACTTAATATTGAAACTAAATAATCCCCCATCATAACTCCATCTGAGAATTCTGTCTATACTTCTCTGTCTTCTCAATAATTTAATGAATAGTTTTCAGTAGTAATCAAGAAAAAGAAGACTATCAAAATGTGATTGAATTACTACCTTGTTTGGACTTGTGTTTTCCAATTTTTCTTCTTTCTTTCTTTCTTCCTTCCTTCCTCTCTCTTCCTTCCTTCCTTCTTTCCTTCCTTTCTTTTTGTATCTTCTTTTTTGTGACGACCATTCCTTAAACCTTTTTATTTGGAACAAAAGCTGCCAGCAAAAGGTCTTCATTTCATCTTCTGACACAGATGGTGTCTTTTGACATACAGGAATAAGCTAAAAGCAAGAAGTAAATTACAAAATTCTAAGTGCATCTTAGTCCAAACAGTCTAACTCCTGAGGAACAATGAGATCACACTGCATCCTCCTCTGGTAGGAGGGTAGCTGTGTCAACATCATCTGCTTTTGTTTATTAAAATCTCCCAGAGGCACTTAGACAAAGATTTTGCTGCCTCTCTCATTTGTGAGAGGAGTGTGTAGTAGCAAGTGTAAGACTGCCTAGGGGTTTGAAATATTGGACTTCTGGAAAGTACTTTGTTTGGGGCATTGACAGTTGCTTACTTATTGGAATTTCGTTGTTTTGAAATTTAGAGGTTGTTTGACATCCTCTCCAGAAAATTATACAAAGAAAAGAGAATTGTCTCCATGTTGCTAAATCTCATTGGTCAGTGCTGTTTGCGGCATCCTCTTAAAGAGCTGCTTGCTCTCAGGCTCTTTGCCTATTTAAAGCAAGGAGTTGTGTATGTGATCCCCAGTTCCAGGGTACATGACTAATGTGTGACATTTTAGAAAGTATCTTTCAGATTTGGAAATGTCATTAAACCCTAAGATCAAGCGTTTAAAATCCTAAGGGATTTTAAGATCTCCAAGTACTTTGAATCTTTCTTCATACAACAAATGAAAAAAAAAATAATGCACTAATCGGCATTACATATCCGGTGTTATGTGCTTTTTTAATCTACTGGTCATTGTAGTTAATTTAATTCTTTGATTAGGAGACAATTTTGGATTTGGAGAGCACAAGAGATACATGTATAATCTTCCTTATGACTCTTTGAAGTGTTATCTACTTCAATAATAAGTGGTTCTTGGAGGATCAGAGGTTTTGTGGGACACATAGCATATAGAAGCAGTCCAGATGTAACTAGACTTTCTTGGTTCATCCTGTCCTTGCATTGAGATCCATATCTGCTTCCTCCAAACACAGTATCATTCCAAGTTCAAATTTTTAATGAATGAGACTTTTAGCTGAGGTAACCCAAAAGATTAATATAAACCAACTATTCTTTCTATTCTCTCAGCAAACTTTCTCCTACCCTTTCCAACAGCCCCCCTTTTAGCCATTCACATAAATTTCTCAGTCAGTTTAGTCTTATCACAAGACAAACTATAGCTGACACCCTTCAATTAAGAGTCACTCACTAATTTAATACTGTTGATATCTCAAGTACTCCCAGGATCAAGGAAATGCCGTAAAGATAATCGAAGCCTCTCCTGTCAGCTCTCATCTTCCTAGTTCGCTTTTACTGACCAAAGCCACCTTTCTGGTTTCTAGCTTGCCCCAGCTTTTCATGTAGCTACCAAGAGCTCATTTTTATCTGATATAGATAGATGGAGGAAGCAGTTGTATCCAGTTCATGATAGGACCAATTTTTAGACTGTAGAAAGTAAAGCATCTAAATTATCTTTGGAATTTGAAACATTGCAATCATCCTTATTCAGAAACTTCAAAATCACTTTAGTGGCAGAATAAACCATGTCAAATTTTCCACACTTAATGTCCTTCCCCTTGTTTTGATTTAGGAGATCTTGAATTGAGACCTTCAACATTCCTCAATATTGACCCTCTCATGGGACTTTTGAAGATTCAAGAAACACAAGATCTGGATGCTGGTGATTATACCTGTGTAGCCATCAATGATGCTGGAAGAGCAACAGGCAGACTAACTCTGGATGTAGGCTGTAAGCTTTCATGTCTCTTGGTTGTATTATTTTTCTGACTGAGTTGTTATTTTCCATGTTGATCAACTGTGAAACAATTTGTTATTTATATTTGTCAGAATGGCAAATTGAGCATGGGCATTTCAGATGACTAACATCATAACAGTGGCTAGCAATTCCGAGAAGCTTCTAATGTACCATTCATTGTGCCAAGAATGTTTTATAGGTTATCCCATTAAATTCTCACAACCCTACTAAGAGAAGATGCTATTATTATGTCTTATACAAATATAAGGACACTAAGCTTATATAAGTTGATCCACTTGATGAGGGTTGCAGAGCTAGAGAGAGACAGAGCTTGTGTATTTGACTGCAAGTTGTGTGACCTCAGAGACTATAGGCTTCACCCATATGTGACATCTATTGCCATTTTTCTGTCAGTAGTCATCCATTCTGCCATCAGATTGATTCTCAATTATTAACATCTGGAGGCCAGAAAGTAGAGTTTGGCCCTAGGCCATAATCTAGAGATGTTGATGACAGAAAAGGTAACAGATTATTCTTTTATTTTAGTTCCAAAAGTCCACTAGGAGTTACTCACCAGTGCATGAAATAAAGTACTAACTGCAAATGAATGTCAATTACCATGGGAAGATGCAATGTGTGCATGACAACTGTATTTGTGTTCTTAGGAAGTTTGGTTCTCACTTCATCATCTATGTCACATCCCTTTAGAAAAATAATGCAAAACAAAAAAAGCATTCCCTACACAGTGTGGTAAAAGGAGAAATAAAACAGAACTTGTTTTTCATGGAAAAGAATGTGGCAGCTTAATTTTCACAGATAATTAAATATTTGCATCTCTTTAAACTTCTAAGTATAGAATGTCATTAAATTATGTTTTCTTTTCTGTACATTATGTACAAGAATCTTTCGTCATGCTCAAACTGATTTTTTTTTAAACACAGTGAGGAAAATGAATCTTTTACAAGCTATTTTAGTTCTATTATCTTAAGCCTTTAAGTGAAAATTATGGCCCTATATGCTTGATGTGTTGTTTCATGAAAACCAATTTTCTTTCCTTCTGAGACCTTTTGTGATCCTGGTCCCCTCCCTGCCCTTGGCTGTCTGTCGAACACTATTCATTCTTGCTGAATATGCCCTGAAATTTTAATATAGAGTACTGGAAATGGCACAATGATTGCTATAGACTCTGTCCAGAGTGTTTTTTTTAACAACAACTGACCTCTGTTATTATTAAGATAAATACCTTGGAAATAAGGTTGAAACTGTTGGGTGGAGGGGGCCTCTGATTCTCCTGGAAGACTTTCAACTATACTAATGATTTTGGAAATGTAAGACTTAAATAAGGGAGGTCATTAGATACAGAATTCTTGTTTTTAAGAAATACAGAAAGGGTGAAGTTCCGATTCTCAGCGCTTTCCCGTTCTGTCTCTCCCTGCTTCCCACAGAGATGTGTTATATCCACACAGCATGTTTTTGCATGTTCTCTCTCTGCAGGGGCAGAGAAATGGCCTCTCTAACTTTTCCTAGTAATAAAATAGTGATCCCTTAGACACAGTACCGATGGTTTAGAAAGTCTGAGGATTACATACATACTTCTCGCCTATTGACTGTTTCCTTCTTAATCATGTTTTGCATCTGCATTTTCTAGATTCTCTCTGATGTCCAGGAATGCACCACCTATAAAGGCTGGTGATATCTGTTCTTGGTGTCCTACGATGATATGTTAGTGGCTTTTCTCATTACTATGAAAAAATACTTGAAAACAATTTTAAGGTAGAATGGGCTCATTTAGCTTCAGTTTGAGCATGTATAGTCTACTTTGGTGGAGGAGACACAGAAGATTGAGGTGGCTGATCCTAGTGTGTCTATGATCAGGAAGTAGTGACAGACAAGTCTGGGCATTTGCTTTGTCCCTTTTTATTCAATCTGAGACCCAAGTCCACAGGATAGTGCCATGTGCCTTCAGAGAAGTCTAACCTCCTCAGTTACACCTCTCTAGAAATAGCCTCAGACATACCCAAGTGTTTGAAAATCCAGTTCCATTGACAGGGAAGATTAACCATTATCAGAAACTTCCCTACAAATGTCTTCTCTTTAGACATCACTTTTAAGTGAACTTTGATTTGGCTCCATCATATGCAAGATCACTACCATTCACAACTCTTCTAAAGCAATCAGCTTCTCAGTTTTGATCCCAGTGATCACACTGAATGGACCATCAATAAAAATGACTCATCTGCTTGCTGTGACATTGACCATTGCTAACGGCTGGCAAATAACTTAATGTTGAAGTTGGCACCATTGTGCTTCTGTTGCACTGTGTTAGTCAGATTCTTCATTATATCCTTCTTAGAGCAGCTCATAAGGTGTGAGTAGACTGACCTGCCCATAGGGGACCATGGTACATATGGTACCAGATGTAGTGTGTACATGCTACAAACCATGGTTATAGAGGTGATTGTGGTTTTTAGTATGAGGCTGTAAAAAACACACTATGGATTGAAAATTTCTCCAGAATTAATATAGTGGTTAAGAAAATATGCACTTGAGAGAAAATGGGTTGTCCTCTTGACTTTCCTTATTTTATAGATAGAAATGGCATTTACTTTACAGGTGAATTGGAAACGTGAAAATGACATGTTATCACTTACATACACCCAGCATATTAACTGTTACCTATAGGACTGCTTGCAACATGGATTTTGTGTATAACTTCATGTATGCTGTGATTATTTTCTTTCTTTGAGCCTCAAAAATGATATAAGAATGCCTAAATAAAATGATACAGCATTCAAGATTAGACTATGGGCTTTTAATATGAAACTCATTGTCTCGATTTGACTCCCTTTTAGAAAGGACTTGAGGCGAGTTAAGTACTAAGCTTAGTAGTGCATAAAATTATTCATTTGAGTTCCAAAATCATTGGGCATATTTCTAAGTTGCTTATGACTTAAGAACAAAAACATGCTTTTATCCATATCATGTAGCTATTTGGGCTTTCAGATTGTTTTCTGTGGGCCTATTACCTCACAGCAGCAATACTAGACTAAAAAAAAAATAACAAAAGAACTGTTGAATATTATTCTTGAGTTTGAGCTTCTTGTAGTGAACATCCCTTTTCCTGTTTCTCATTATCATGGCTTTAAGTTATGGACATTTCAGGTCAACAGGGAAAGTTACCAATGCTTTTCATCCCTTGGAAAGGGGGGGTAGTGAATTGTGAAGTCATTTGGAAGAAGAGGGGATTGGAAACATCAAACAAAAACTTGGCCTGGCAGTAATTTTTTTTAAAGCATTCCACACCACACAGGGTTTGAGTCTTAGACTGTGGTTTTGTATTTTGTGGTTTGGTGGAACCAAAGCAATGTGTCTAGTCATTTTAGGAAAGAAAATCCCTGACTGACATAATGCAAGAGTTGCCACAGAGGGAATATACATTTAACTGTCTTGGGGGTCAAGGAAAATAATTCAGAATAGTGTTTAGAGTAAGATGGCAAATTGGTTTATGACTGTTATGTTTTTCAAACAATGATCCTGCACAGCCATAGTTATCTCTACAGACAATAAACTGCACTGTGGTGTAACACCCACCCCCAATGCATATCTCAATGAGCTATACAGATGCTTAGGGAATTACCAGGGGCCAAACATTATCCTAAGAGACTGAATGAAGGCCCCAAAGTGAAATCAAATGCAAAGATCAAACTCCAGCACTAAGATCTAATAAATTAACTCTGTAATCTTTATGTTTAATACAGTTTGTATTGAGGTAGTTATTTCATGCAACATTATTGGTAAAAATTATCTCTTTTGACAACTTGAAATATAAAATCATGCTTTCCTTTTATGTTCTTAGAGAAATTAAAGCCAAGGAGAGGAGTGAAATGACTTACCCAAGATCACAGACTAAAACCATTCCAACTGCCCGTTGAAACTACTCTGTGGGTTCTTACCCTTCTAAGTAACACCCTCTCTTCTAGAAAAGCACCATTGTGTACTGTCAGCCAGTCACTATTGGTCTCCTGGTCTCTAGTTTGGCTAACCTATTTACAACTCACCCAGAAAAATTCACTTGGAGGCTGTGTTGGCCACAGTCAGGAGGAGGAAGCATTTAAGTCTTCTTGGCTCAGCTGGGAGCTGCTTCATTTTGGAAGTTTGTATGTGGTGGACATTGTGTTGGCTGCTCTTTCAGGCCTGGTGTTCTCATTTGTCTCTTGTTTTGAGAGTCAGTGCTTATGTTCCCTGCTCTGATGTCTTGTGCCTGATACTGTTCTAGAATCTGCTTTGCAAGGCATGACTTCTCCCATCTTGATTAGGTTTGTGGGTATAATTTGAGTTTGCTTTTCTGTTCTGATTCCAGATTTCCTTCCTCCATTACTTCTGAGTGTACACAGCTAGTGTATCACTTTTCATTGGTAATTATATTTTAACATTTCAATAAATGGAGATCTCTCTTCCCTCAAGTAGTTGGTGGGTTTCAGCGGTCTACATAAATTTTATTCTTCTCTCATATATTACATACCTATCACAGTTTTCCTTCCCTCACTTCCTTTCAGTTCCCATATCCACCTCCTCTCTTCCCCAGATCCATGCCCTCTCTGTCTCCCCTTGTAAAAAACCAGGTCTCCCAAGGACATTAACCAATAATAACATAATAAGCTTCAATGAAACCAGGCACATACCATCGAATCAAGGCTGGACAAGACAACCCACGAGGAGGAAAAGGGACCCATAAGAAGGCAAAAGTCTCAGTGGCTGTCCCTGCTTCCACTGTTAGGAATTCCACAAGAGCACCAAGCTACTTTACCATAACATAGATGGAGAGGACCTAGGTCAGACCTCTATAGGCTCTGTGATCTCTGTTAGCCCCCATGAATCCCAGTCAATTGACGCTGAGAGCCTTGTTTTCCTGGTGTCCATGACCTTTCTGGTTCCTCCTATCATTCTCCCACTTCTCCTCATCTGCAGGATTCCTCAAGCTCCACCTAATGTTTGACTGTGAGACTCTGCATCTGCTCCCATCAGTTTCTGGGTGAAGTCTCTCTAGTCTCTTTGATGAGGATTCTGCTAGGCTCTGGTCCCAGAACACTGTAGGTAAAAGATTTTCTGACTGGGTTTGGTGTCCAAATCCCTCCACTTGAGGCCTTGCCTGAAACAGAAGATGGTTGGTTCAGGTTCCAGGTTCCCCATTGCTAAGAGTCTTTGCTAGGGTTATTCCCATAGATTCCATGGAGTTTCACCTAGGTCTCCACCTCACTCCTGAAATGACCCCAATTCCAATCATTTCTCCCAGTGTTTTCTCCCTCCCCGCACCAGTCCCTCCTGGTCCCAGCCCTACTTGCTCCAATTCCACCTGTGAAATCTATTCTCTTTCCCCTTCCCAAAGAGCTTCTTGAGTTCCTCCTTAAGCCCTCCTTGTTGCTTAGCCTCTCTGGGTCTGTGAATTGTAGTATGATTATCTTTACTTTACAGCTAATCCAGTTATAAATGAGTAATATCATGTGTCATCTTTCTGGGTCTGGGTTATCTCACTCAGGATGCTTTTTTTCTTCAAGTTCCACCCATTTGCCTTCAAATTTTGTGATGTCATGGTTTTATCAGTCAAATAACACTCGATTGTGTAAATGTACCATATTTTCCTTATCAGTTCTTTAGTTGATGGGCACTTAGGTTGCTTCCAGTTTGATTGACTGCATTTACTGTAGGGAAAAAATATCCAAATTTTAGAAATGAAATGAACAAGCAATGAGTTACTTCATTAACTATATTTAAAATGTGTTTATTTGTCATTTTTAAGTTGAATTCCTATGTATATGAATTAAGAAAACTATCTAAACAGAGATAGACCACTCTCTTCTCAAAACATCTTTTTCAGTTTTGGTTTTCATCTTAAAATTTGTAAGAGGGCTTTTGAAATTGTCATGTTTCTTTCAAAAGTACAAGTTCAAATGTACAGGGTTGAGGTATCTCCATCATATGAACATTTGTACACACATACCCAAGTCTGAGTTATTACTATAGCTTTTCATGATGATTCAGTAATTCATTCACCAGTATCCATTGGCCACACACAATGTACCATGTAATAGATTAGCTGCTGTTAAAGGATAAAACTATAGTTGTATACATAGGCTGCCCGGAATACAAAGCAACAGATAATCAAGTAATAGTTTGGATTTGGAGAGTTTCATGGATCTGATAGAAAGGGTTGTCTTAAATCTCTAACTGGGACGTCATGATGCCTATTTGTGATGATAAGAGATGACATCATAGAGGAGTGTCCTTTGGAAACTAAGTTAAAGGGTGGTCAATATTTTAACATCAGGCATTACCTTTAAAGGGGAGGTAATAACACAAGTTCTAAAATGAGAAAGGTCAGCACAAGTTCTAAAATGAGAAAGGTCAGCTCTTACTTGAAGAAGAGTGAGGATTTGTGACTTCCAAAGGGCAGGCTTTGTATAGTGTATGAAGTAATAGCAACACAGCTGCAGAGTGAGAGGTGGCCTATTCCAGGCTAAAATAAGAACCAACACTGGTGGAAGACAGATGCACATCCAATTTGCAGATGTGGGATGAGAAGGAAGGAAGCTATTTCTACATCTTTTTTTATTAAGTTTATTTTTTTAAATTTCACTTTGCATTTCAACCACAGTTCTCCCTTCTACCCCTCCTCCAACATGACCCTCACCTCCCTGCCCAGCCTACCCTCTATCCACTCCTCCTACAGGATGATGAGACTGCTAGCCAGTATGTTCAGGCATAGTTATTAGAACATGTAGAGGAGAGGCTGATAAAATGACAAAGGATTTCGACCCTGAAATGGAAACCAGCTTTTTACCCTATGGTACTCATTCAAGTCCATGTGACACTTGTCAAATCAACTATGTTTCCTCATGTATAAAACCAGAGTGGGGTCATTCTGAAGACTGAAAACAAATGAAATCATTTGACAAAAGACTTGGCTCTGAAAATGATAGCTGTTGCCATTGCTAACCTGGACACATGTTTGATTTCTGGTATACCATCTCTTAGAATTTTATATGAGTAGGTTCCTCCCACTGATTTTGCAGAATCTCCTGTATTTGTTCTTATCTGACATCTCAAACATCATTATTCATAAGTTCCCAAAAGCCTCATCCCTGAGTGGTTGCCAACAGCACCCTTTCTGTATCACAGTCCTGTGTTTTCCTAAGTGTACCCCTCATATATTTTCAGCTCTTCCTGTCAATTTCCCTAGTTATCAGAATTATGTAAACCTATAGATTTCTTTGTACGTCTCAATTCTTCTTAAGATGCCAAGTACTTATTATTTTCTCTTTATCAAATGTGTTCAGGTCTTTTTAACTTACATTATTGATTCTCAAACTTAAATTTCTCTGACTTCAAAATGTGAGCAAGAATACAATACCAAACATTGTTATACTTCAGGAATAAATGTTGTTGGCATGCCAGATGGGGATTAGTAAAGAAATACTTTGGTACGAATTAAGTTCATTTAAAAGTCCAACCAACATATTACTCCTTGGCATGTACCCAAAGGACACTGCAATATTACAAGGACACTTGCACAACTATGCTCATAGCAGGTTTATTAGTAATAGTCAGAAACTAGAAACAACCTAGATGTCTCTTAACTGAAGAATTGATAAAGAAAATATGGTACATTTACACAATGGAGTATTACTCAGTTGCTGAAAACAATGACATCAGGAAATTTGCTGGCAAATGTATGGAACTAGAAAAGATCACCCTGAGTTAGGTAACCCAGACCCAGAAAGACAAACATGACAGGTGCCTAGCCCAACTGTCATCAGAGAAGGTTCACCCAGAAATGGATGGAAACAGATTCAGAAACTCACAGCCAAATATTAGGTAGAGCTCGGGGAATCCTGCAGAAGAAGGGGAAGAAGGATTGTAGAACTCTATGGGGTCAAGGGTATTGCAAGAAAAACCCACAGAACCAATTAACCCACACAGAGGGGCTCACAGAGACTGAACTAACAACCAGGGACCCTACATGGAAGTGACCTAGGGCCTCTGCATATACGTTACAGTGTGTAACTTGGTCTTCGTGTGAGACTCCTAACAGTGGGATCAGGGGCTGTCTCTGACTGCTTTTGTGATCCGTTCCTCCTATTTGGTTGCCTTATCTAGTCTTAATAGAAGAGAAGGTGCCTAGTCTCACTGCAACTTGATAACCATGGCTGGTTGATATCCATGGGAGGCCCACTTATATCTGAAGAACAACTGTGGAGGAGGAATGGAGAGGAAGGTGTGGGGGTAGGACTGGGAAGAGGGGAGGGAGGAGAAACTTTGGTTGGGATTTAAACAAACAAACCAACAAAAATAGTTCTGAAATCTAGCTAATGATATTTTGAAAAATATAAGAAATATCATATTGCATTATAAAGCCAACTTATTTAAGAGAGTATAGGTTTGAGCACTATAACATATACACATATTGAAAACAAATTTCTATAACAATAGAAACTGTTTAAGATGATCTTCATATCACCTACAACTTTAAGTCAAGAGCTGAGTGTCCATTCTAAATGTTCATTCATAAAGAGAAAAATATATCTGTCATGTGTCAGACAGGAAAACTTACAATGTTTTATGAACAGTGATATGTTTCCAATCCAATCTGTTGATAATTTAATAGTTTTTTCTTAATGTGTCCATACCCTCTACCAGTGACATTTTTGTGTTTTGTATCTTCCAGCACCTCCAGTTTTCATTCAAGAACCTTCTGATGTGTCCATGGAAATTGGCTCCAATGTGACATTACCTTGTTATGTCCAGGGTTACCCAGAACCAAAGATCAAATGGCGAAGACTGGACAACATGCCAATTTTCTCAAGACCCTTTTCAGTTAGTTCCATCAGCCAACTGAGAACAGGCGCTCTCTTTATTTCAAGTAGGTGAAAGGATGTATTTGCGTGTGTGTGAGCATGCTTGTGTGTGTATACTTGTGCATTCATATTTATGCATTTGTTTATGCACACTGTTTTGTATACGTGTATTTTTTGTTTTGACTTAGTTTGCTTTTTGTTTTTCTTGTTTTGAAACAAAGATTTAGGATGGTAGTCCAGAAGGCCTTTTGACCCTTGATCTTTTCTCAGCCTACATGCCACCATGCCAGTCTGTACTGTAATGTACAAATACGTGTGCTCAAATATGTATGCTAGTAGATTAAACTGGACATGCTCAGTGACAATATTTGTAAGATCAAAATCATTCCTCTATTTAACCTTGATTTCCTTATTACTTACAAGCCAAGAACTACACTTTAAAAGCTTTACTCCAACCTCCCGACTATCCCTTCCAGCTCGTAATTAATGCTTCCCTGACTGTTTCCAATGCTGTCGTTAATTGCACATCTTCCATAATGCTCTTCAAGATCTTGGGGAAAAAATTCTATGCGTTTGTTCTGATGATATAATAAAAAGTCCATCAATATATAGTAAAAAGAAGGATGAGAAAAAGCAATTTGTATTAAAAATATGTGTTTTTACATGTGAACATTTGGTGTCTCCACAGTATGCATATGAGTTTATACCCCTTCACTGAGGACCCCACAGCTCAGTGCTGAATATAGCATCCAGTAGTTTTTCTAGCTAGATGAATAGCTATGTCTTCTCCTTATGCAGACTTAGGTTTCTATGATTATAAATACATTTCAAATCTACAAATTTCTAGTGGAGCCTTCATATTCTTGCTAGACTTGGAACACTATTTCTCTATGAATCTGCTCTGTGTATTGTCTCTGTAGTTTTTTATTCCCTAAATGCAAACAGATTCTACCCATCACTGGGACAACTAAACAATGTTCCCTACAAACAGCAGAAGCGTACCCAGAGTGGCACAGCTTTATACTCTTTGAACAGAACCTGCTTTTCTTCAAGCTCTGCTTTTGATTATAATTCACCATGAGTGGGCAGCTCCTCCTATCTTATACCTGCTCTTTTATTTATTCTTTATAATTTTGGAGATTATAATTGAATTATGACATTTCCTCTTACCCTTTTCTCACCCACCCCACATACAACACCTCTTCTCTTTTCTTCAAATTGGTGGCCTCTTTTATTTTTTCCCTAATTGTTATTGCATATATAAACCTATTCAGGCCATATAATGCTGCCTATATGGATATTTGGCACCAAACAACCAGTTGGTGTGATGGACTCTGGAATCTCTCCTGTTCCAGTTTTCCTCAGTTTCTTTGTGTGCAGTTGAGGTCTAATAGGCTTTTCTCTGTGCAATTTGGCATGTTCGGCTCACATTTGGGCAGTCATATTGTTAAGACTTTATGTCTAGATGCTCATTAAACCACAGCTGGTATCTTACCTCCACTGTGAATTTCTGAGTCCTCCATATACAATCAGGACATCATTCTTATCTGTGGTTCCATCATTCATTGTATAAACCTCATAGAGAGTTTGTTACCCTACTGTAATGGCTGAGTTTGTTTTCTCCTTCCCTAGAAGGCAGTGGCCAAAAGGTGCTTACATATTTCTGTCACAGATTCCAGGCACTGCGCCTGGTGCATTGCTAAGGTTTCATAATGGTCATGAGTGAATAAATGGGTTTTTCTTTCTAGATTTATGGGCAAGTGACAAAGGAACGTATATCTGTGAAGCTGAAAACCAGTTTGGAAAAATACAGTCACAGACGACAGTAACAGTGACAGGACTTGGTAAGACTAGTTGACTTTCTAGAGGCGATCTTCTTCAAAAACTTCAGACCTCTTTGATGATGATGATGATGACGATGTCATCCCTTGCATGTGACAATTTCTATTTGTTCTAAAGCCAGGTAGAGGTTTGTGTCCCTAAGCTGTATTTCATACAATGTGACAACTATAAATAACTTAAAGATCATCTGCTTCAGCTCCCCATCTTCTATTTATTACACACACACACACACACACACACACACACACACACACACTGTATATGATGGCTTTTGACTTAAGTTTATCACTTAGGTCCACATAGAATTGTGTTTAGGTGTTGTGAAGTTAGAATAGAATATAGCTTATTTCCAACTGTCGAGGTATTTGATTTAATATGTTTTATTGAGTAGTCGTGTCTGACTGATTAAACTATTCTCATACTGAATTTATATTTCTACATCTAGTCATTGGGATTGTTTTTTCCTAATATTATCTAGTTCAAGTTATTATAGCATTAAATGTGATTTTTAAATACCTTGCTACACACATCTCATTAATATGCTTCATAGAATTTTCTGTGTGTCTTCATTCATCTATCTATGCTTATGTTTTTTAATACCTCTTAAGGATTTTGTGCTCAGTTGAGTGATTTTCTTTGTTGTTGTTAATTTCAAGGAAAGCACAATTTTACCAGGCTTCTTTACTATTCCATTTCAACAGACTCACCTTTATTCAGCTTGCTGGTGCTGTTGAAACAGACTCCCGATGGTCTGTACCTAGTCTATTCTGTTGCTAGCTATCTTCCTGAGAGTGGGTTCTCTCGATTCCGTGTCTCCACTCACAAGCACTCCCAAACACTTTCCATCCTGATGTGTATGCTGCCATCATCTTGCCTTGACATTGCTGGCCTTTTGTATGGAGGCTTTGCTCTTTACTTTTGATGTTTCCATGGTATCACCTATCCTCCCCGCATTTCTTCTGCTTGGATGGATCCATTACTTCCACACTGAAGTTCTTTTCCATTCTCACTCTAAAGTTTTGTTACTGAACACTCCAGTTTGAAACAACATAATTTGTAGTCATCTTGCTCATAATATTACCACCACCACCCTTTTTATGATGAAGCTGAGTGCTCTTTCTTTGATGTAGTTGCCCCACTTATTGGAATCAGTCCTTCTGTGGCCAGTGTCATTGAGGGACAGCAGCTAACTCTGCCTTGTACTCTGTTGGCTGGAAATCCCATCCCAGAACGGCGGTGGATAAAGAACTCAGCCATGGTGAGTACTTTCTTCATACATGCCTTTTTGTTTGTTTTTCTCCTAAGAATAAACGAATTATGTAACAAATACTGAAAGCCTGATTTCATAAACATGTAAACATGTTTTATAAGCATACCAAAGCTTTTCTTAAAAAAAGATGTATTCATATTTATTTGTGTGTGTGTGTGTGTGTGTGTGTGTGTGTGTGTGTGTGTGTGTGTGGATATCAGAGTCCAATTAAGGTGTCAGATCCTCTGGAGAGCAGTTGGAAGCCACTTTACCTGGGTCCTGATTTTCAAACTCAGCTGCGTCTGCAAAAGCTGTGCTCTTAACTGCTGCTGATCCATCTAGCCCCAAGGGCTTTCCTTTTTTGTTACTATGTTTATGCCATTTATATTATTCAGAGCTTTAATTTTTAAGAAGTAATTCGTACTACAATTTTTATAATTTCACAGTACATTTAATACTACTATTAAGCTGCCTTCAAAATATGTAAAAATTTAGGCTAGTAATATTTTCTTTGTACTTAAATACTTGATACTCTTCTGTTTAGAACATTATGAAATACTAGTATTCCTTTAAAATCTTACATTTTGTATATTACTCTTTTTTCATATTGAGCTTTGAATTTCTTTTGTGATGGATTATTTTAGAGAGGTAGATCCCTAGCATATTACTGAATGCCAGTGTGTAATTTTTAATTAGGAAAGGATATGGGTGGCATTTCAGTTCTAAGAAAGATTTCCATAAATGTGTATTCTATTGAGACAGAACTTCATCTAGTGCAGACCACTTCCCCTGTTTTCCAGAGAATCTAGACTCACTGTCTTCTAGAAGTACTCCCGAGAAATGAATTGACTCCATATGAGGAATTGCAAGCTTACTCATATTTACATAAAAATTTGTGGAAAAACACAATACCTCCTGGACAAAGAAACAGTCTTATATGAAGCTGGTCACTAATATGTAAAATGGTCCAGTTTTAGAAATAATCACGTGTATGCTAAAATATTGTCAGTTTTCTCTGACATGGTTTCTGGATCACACTGTGTCCATTGCTTTTCGAGCCTGGCAGCTGATCAGGATGGGAACTAAGATGAAGCCACACTCCCTTGGCTTAAAAAAAAATACCTACATGCCAGAACAGAAATATCAAAGAGCTTGCTAGTGGTGAGGAAGCCTTCCTGAAAAGAACAATTTAGCCAAAAAGAAAAAAAACTACTAGTGAAATGTGAATCCAATGGCAGCAGAACTTACAGAAACACAAGACCTGTGGAATGTCCTTTATCCCCATCAGGGATGTGAATAGCTGTCTCATAGCAAATGGTACATATAACTGTGGAGAGATATCAGGGTTGAATATGATTAATAAATTCTTAGGAGCATTTTATGCAGATTATTTTTTAACTTAAGGATGCTAAAATCCCAAGTTTCTCTATAGAAAATTTAATAATTCAGTTGAGAAAAACAAACAGATCTGATTTTGGCTTAGACAAATTTCTGCCTTTTCTAATTAAAAAATAAATGACTTTTTAAAAATTCCTTTTGAAAGTTGGTACAAAATCCTTACATAACTGTGCGCAGCGACGGGAGTCTCCATATTGAAAGAGTTCGGCTTCAGGATGGAGGCGAATATACTTGTGTGGCCAGTAATGTTGCTGGAACCAATAACAAAACAACCTCTGTGGCCGTGCATGGTAAGAGAGACCCAACATAATTGTTTCCAAACCTGGTTCAAAACAGGGTTCATAGGTTCTAATCAAATAACTCTGTTCCTCTAATTACAAGAGGGAGAGCTTTCTCTTAATTGTTATTTTATATTTCTTGAACAAGCTCTGCATTGTTAATGCTGTTTCCAGATTTCCCTTTCCTATGTACACAAAAAGACATTTGAGGGAGTCACCAGCCAAGTCTAGCCAAGGGCTTTTGTGTGTGGTTTCTTAATTGATAAAAGTGAATTCAGACCTCAAAGAATCATGTTTAAAAATACATTTTTAATTTCAGACAAGCTGAACTTATTGTACCATTCAAATTGCCTTAAATTGCCCTTTTTTTTTTTTTTTTTTGGATTGTGCAACAAACATGTCCTTACTAGAGAGCCCTCTATGTTGGAGCTAAAAATGACCTAAGTTTTGCTAAAGGTTGTTTCATGTGTCATGTGTTCCAAGCAGTCTTCTTTGCATGTTAAATCATTTAAAGGTCACAAATAGGAAAATTCAGAGACAATCATTTTTTCCAATTGTAACAATTACCAGGCTTATTTTTTATAATCTCAATAACAATAATGGACACCTTCATAGTTTGACCAATTCTCCTAACATTATGTATTTGTTTTTAAGAGCTTGCTATATTGTTTTATCATGTAATATTAAAAATAGATTTATAAACAACAAAGAATGACTTAGGAAGAAAGAACAGAGAATACTTGGTTTACTCAATTCATTTGCTCAATTTTATTTATAACATGAATTGGGAACTCTACCGGCTTACACATTATGTGTTTATCTGTCAAAGGTTTCAGTGACTGTAAACTACTTTGTTTTCTATGCCTGCTCCCTCACCGGCAGCTTTATGCCAATAGCCACCAACACCGCTTGACATGTTCTTGAGAGGTTTCAAAGAAATACCCTCAAATAACTCACACATAGTCATAGCCTCCAATAATAAAGGCATATTGGGTTGTGTACCATTGTGGGCCTGTTTTTAAAGAACAGAGCATCATTTTCCTGGAGGGTGCTATGGACTGGCTTAAGGATGCAGCCTTGGAACATCCTCATGTCATCTCCCCTTTTCTCCTAGTGATTGCCTAGGCAGTTGTGTTGAGAAGGATTTTCACTTGCAGATTTCCACTGGCAGGGAGGAGTGATAGGATATTTTAGCTATATCAGAGGGGGGAGAAGACAGACAACCCAGTGGCCTGATATAATGAGACACAAGATATTTTAATGTTCATGTTAGTCCAAAACAATCAACTGATTTAGTCAATAACACTGAAGAATCAGCCCAATGATTGGGTATCAACCAAACCTGGCACAACACAAAGCATGGCAGCTTTGTGCTTGCCTCATGTTAATGAGGAGTTCATTTTTTGTCGTATCCACTCTCAGGAATACCTACGAAAGATGCTCAACCATTTCAAAAAGGAAGAGATAAAAAAAATGAAGGAATTCAAATACAAATGCAGATGGAAAGAACTAAATCTAATTGTCACGTTGCTTTATGTAGACTCATGATCTGGAGAGAAGCTGTTCCTCCTCCATACCCAGATGTCATCAAGCTCCAAAACTGACTTAAATTTGCAACTTTTCTTTACTACTGTCTAACTTAATATGGCTTTAAAGACATGGCATTCCCTTATGTTGCCACAAATTGACAGCATATTTGAGAGCTGTGTATTCTGTCATGATCCTGGAAATTAAATTTCTTGCTTTCATGAGTAGCTCAGTGTTCTTGCTTAGAGCTGGAGACTCACTGCCAAGTCTTTAAGACAAAATTAGCTGAAGACTAATTCCAGCCATAGGAAAGTATGAGTGCACAGGGTACATCATTTTAGCCTTCCAAGGAGCTTTTGCACTGGGGGGTCTGTGGTATCTTCTAGCAAATTTCTATTCCAGGGGAGTATGACATTTCTGGAAAATTCTGACTTAAAGCAAGAAATGTGGTAAGCAATTGAGCTCTGGGGAAGACATCTAGTCTCATCTTCCCACAGGATGCATGCAATAGGAAGATCTGGAAACACCAGACTTTCATTGTGCTCCTTTCATTAGAAAATGTTCATGTATGGAAGCCTTCATCAAAGTTGTTGTGTTGAGGATACGGTGTGTTTGTCATTTTCGGTGCTTATTGGTTCTGACTAAGAACAAAGGAAACAGAGCAGGTGCTTGGTTTCCCTTTCCTTTCACGGCTGGTCACATGCTGCTAAGGTCTCTCTGGCTTCCTCAAAGCAGAAACATGGTGTTCTTAACTGAAAAATGTTGCCTTGTCCTTTATGTTATCATTTTAAAGATAAACTCCCAACATCTCTCTAGTTATACTAAATTCCTTTTAAGAAACAACCATTTTTATCAGTTCAATTTAGTAAAGCACTGAGTGGCTCTTGTGGATATTAGGGGTGTTTAATAAGTGGTACTAAGCCACTCATTTATTTGGGAGTGGGCTTACATCAGTTCATTGAAGCTCAGCAGGTAGTGGCCAGTAACCAAAGAGGTATTCCTAAGAAATATGTATAACTGTTAGACTATAATCTATCTTGAATTTTAAGGAAATAATTGATTTTATTCAGTCCTTTTATATTTTTCTCTAGAGAGGTCACCATATTAGACATCACTTAACACTTGGTTTTAAGCTTTTGTTAGATCTGTGCCAATTGTACTTACTGTATTTTTGCCTTATATTCCCTTACTAAGATTATGTTAAATTGCAGTTTTCATAAACATTAAGAATATATTGAAAATAAAACATAAAAAAGAATATATTGAAAATGTTCAATTTTAAGAATATGATACTAAATGGGAGTAAAGGTACTCAGATGCCAACCTTACTTCTGTCTCCAGTTCTGCCAACCATTCAGCATGGCCAACAGATACTCAGCACAATTGAAGGCATTCCGGTAACTTTACCATGCAAAGCAAGTGGGATTCCCAAGCCATCTATCACCTGGTCAAAGGTAAATTATAGATCTAGTGGCATTCCCTGACATAGTGTGTGGGATGGCTTGCACAGTTGTCTCTGAAAGCTTCAGTAGGATATGAGCGAGTAAGACACAAGAGGGCAGGAAGTTAAATCAGTCCTCTACTGAGCTGGCTTCCTCTGTGGCTGACATTACAAGTTTCAACATGCTGGATATCCTCCCAGGAGTCACATGGATAGGAGGATGCCTTCCTACCCTGTGATGAGCAGGAAGTGCGATGTTGGTCCAGGACACGTGTTTGGCTGTCCTGCCTGTAAAAGTTGGAGACTGTGAGAAACACAGCCTGTGGCAAATTGTGGAGCTGCCCACTGGGGCTGTTGTGAAATCAAGACAACCAAGGGAAGGTGACCAGGAGGGCTCTGCTACACATGTAAAGTGTTCAGAACAGTTCTTGAATACAGCCTTTTGCACAGTACTGTTTATTGTTTTGTTAATGTGTTTCAAACATCTGGTAGGTAACTACATCAAAGACAATTTTTATGATTAAAATTTTTATTCTGAATATATATATATATATATATATATATATGTATACTCACATTTTATAATATGTACTGTACATACATTACCACAAGGAAAGTAAATTATATATAGTATAATATGTAACAATCTTCATATATTGATATCAATTTTTTTCATTTTGTAAGTAGGTCATGTTTAAATCCTGTAAATGTCCTTATGAAGACTTTGAAAGTCCCCACTCTAATGAAACTCAGGTACACAGCATCCCCATTTAACTGGAGGTCAGGAAAGCAATGGATCTGAAGAACCCTTTCCTACCAGCACTGCCTCCTTCTCTATACATCACCAACTACGGAAGGAGGGACAGAAATGGGAGGTCATGTTCTTTCAACAGAACTACAGGTCATGAGTATATCTCCGTGGTTCTCCACTGCCCACGTAGTAAATTCATTTCTAATGACCCCAAATGATTTTTGACTGAGTAATCTTAGTATTCAGCCAGACAAATAGGTGAGGGAGAAGTCACTGACTAGGGTCTTGAGGAAGCCTCATGAGACTTGTGGCCCATGAATGTAAACTGAGCAAGAGACTTGGTATTCACCAGAAGCCACTTATTTGAAAAATATTAATAGAATCTCTTATTGCAGATACTTTTGGCACCTGGGGATATTACAATAAGCTGAAAGGACCACACTCTAGACTTTCGGTCTTTATAGGTGGGAAGTAAGGAAGACAACATGTGCTAACCTAGAAAGAAACTCTAATCCTTACAGAGTGCTTACCTACCAGGCCTTGGCTTGGGTTCAGGTCCTGAGATGGGGAAGGGTCATTGGCACTAGGAAAAAGTCGCTCAAAGACCTTTCTAAGGTCCCTTCCCAGGGATGTTGCTGCATGGATTCCATGTATGGGCAATGAGTGTAAGACACCTCTACAAATCCATGTATTCCCCTCTACATTCCTATTGTGTGGTTGGGCTTTCACTAGTATTCTTGCATTGATGAATCCCTAATTTACAAAGAAAGTCCATTCCTTCTGTGAGTGGTCACAAAGGTGATATATTTCCAAAAAAAAATTAACTTGAGTCTTACAGATAAAATATACTATAAAATCATGACACACAATTCATATAATGAGAACCGCCAAACCATTTGTAATTTCGTCTGATTTTGTCATCTAAAAAAATCTATGAAGCATGGAGAAATTGATGCTAACTAAAACCTATATAACATCTATATACCATTTTTACTGTCTAGACACAAAATTACAACAGTGAAGCTATGCCTCAAAGTTTACAGCACCTGCCACTTGCAGAAACATGCCACTCTAAGGAAAATGCAAGAATGCGTCTTTCCAATGAGTCATGCTATAGCCAGGATAAGAAGATAGGAATTTGGACTCAAAGCCTAACTATTGGAGTTCTAGGCAAGCTCACCTCTTGACTGACTTAGTGATTTTGGAGCAAGTTTCTCTACCCACCTGTGTGCAGTAGGACTCTGAATTGGAAACTGTAGGGTTCAGCAGTTTCTGTTTATAAGACTATGTGAGTGTTACAACACTTGATTCACACAAGATACAAGATTTTCTTGCTGGTGTGCACAACAATGGCTTTGGTGATACCATTCACCTCTGCTATGGTTATGGTATTGTTGTCCTTTAGATGGCTGTACAGTATAGGAATGGCTTGGGATGGAGGAATACCACTTATAGTGCATTTGTTTGTCTAATTTCTCTTATAAACAATTCCCTTCTAATTAGCCCTTTTCAATTTTTTTACCCCTTAGAGGTATTTTCCTCTCTCTTCCTCTTGTAAATAAAGCTATTTCTTTATTATCTTTAAAAAATAAACATACTTTGTTTTGTTTATAGAAAGGAGAGCTGATTTCAACTGGCAGTGCCAAGTTTTCTGCAGGGGCTGATGGGAGTCTGTACGTGGTGTCACCAGGAAGTGAGGAGAGTGGGGAGTACATCTGTACAGCCACCAATGCAGCTGGCTATGCCAAGAGGAAAGTGCAGCTGACTGTCTATGGTGAGAACCACCCAAGGGAGGTTTCCCTTTGAAATAGCCTATGCATACCAGATCTCATAATTTCTTCCATAGCAAGGTACCCAAAGGTACTTTCAAAGTGGAGCTCTCCCCTAAGCTGGTATTGCATAAACAAAGATACATTTTTACTTTCACTGCCAACCCAAACCACCTCAGCCTAGATTCTGATTTGCAGGGCTGTAATTGTATAACCTTTTGGAACACTTCCATGCTATTTTCCCAAGAAGTATGCTTACTATGTCCAACTTTTTGCAAGGACAGCAGTTGGTTGAAAACCTCATGAAGCCAAGCCGCAGCTGTGTCCTAGGTAGCAGCCTTCTGCTCCAGGGAGTACTGATTCTGTGGCAGAACTGAGGCCATTTCAGCTGACCACTTCTCAGTGTGCTGAAAAAGATCACTGAAGCTCACTCCTCATTTCCTATTAGCTCTCTATAAGTGTAGTAATAGGAAGTTTTAGGTATACCCTGAGTCTTGGGAACCAAGATCTTCTTGTAAACTACTTAAGAGCATTAGAACCCTAGGTTTTAGTTGGGCATTGGTGGCACACGCCGTTAATCCCAGCACTCAGGAGGCAGAGACAGGCGGATCTCTGTGAATTTGAGGCCAGCCTGGTCTCCAGAGTGAGCGCCAGGGTAGGTTCCAAAGCTACACAGAGATACCCTGTCTTGAAACCCCCCCCCCAAAAAAAAAGAACCCTAGGTTTTAGTGTAAATGAAACTACTTTGTTTTTAATGCATCATTTTTCCCTTCCCCATCTTGTGTTTATTTTATTTTAGTAAGACCCAGAGTGTTTGGGGACCAAAGAGGACTGTCCCAAGATAAGCCTGTGGAGATCTCTGTCCTAGCTGGGGAAGAAGTGACCCTTCCCTGTGAAGCGAAGAGCTTACCCCCACCCATTATTACCTGGGCCAAAGATAGCCAACTCATCTCTCCATTTTCTCCAAGGTAAGAGTTCTGGAGAGAACAGCAACACAGGGAGACATGAACTGCTGGGGTGATGCCCGCTAAGGCTTGCAAATCTATCAAAATATAACTTACCGCCGAGCTAATTCATAAGCACATCTGAGTTATGTATACCTTACACATCAGTTTCCAAGGTCGTAAATGCTAAGACAGCTTTGCCACGGTTCCCACTGGTGCATTTTATAGGTAGTTATTGAAATGGAGCAGATTTGTGTGTGGGGTTCTCTCAGCCCTGTCTGTGTGCAACTCACAGAATTCCATTACTCCCAGAGGTAGTAAAACACAACAGGCACTGTCATATATAGGACTTGACTTTCATTAGCTGGTTTTGTAAATCTTTCTGATTAAACTCATCCATAAATAAGGTCCATTGAGATGATATAATTTGTAGACTTACTGACACAGTGAGAAGAATTCCAGGGCTTTAGGACACAACCATTGTTGCCATCCAGTAACGAGTTTAAACTTATCTGTGTCGTGTAAAGGTTACCTAAGTGCTTGGCTTTTTTTTTTTTTTCCAGAAGACACTTTTGAATTCCATGTCTTTTGTTTGTACAGTGGGTTGATATTTACCTGGAAGAGTTCTATGAGATAGTGTGCTGGAGAGATGGTTCGGTGGTTAAGAGCACTTGCTACTCTTGCAGAGGACCCAGGTTTAATTCTGATAACCCACATGGCAGCTCATAAGCATCTATAACTCTAGTTTCAGGGGACCTGTCACAAACTCCAGACCTCTGTAGGTGCTGCACAATGGTGCACACGCATACATACAAACACTCATCCACATAAAATAAAAATAAATAATACTAAAATTTAATTATAGCTGCTTGCTATCATTTGTTAGGCTTGCTGGCATATAATCGAGAACCGTGAATTTATATTCTTTTCAACTATTGGTGACAAAAAAATAACTGGAACAACTTTACATAATTCTAGTCTTTGGTTGAAAGAATTTTACTGGAAGTTATAAAGTAAAATAAGAAGGTTACTTATAAAGCAATTCCATTGCATCCTTCCCCCATCAGGCTTTCTTTCCTTCCTCCTCTGTGCAAACTTTCATCTCTGAGTACTCCAGAAAACTGCTTTTAAGGTTTCAATTTTGTTTTTCTGGTCTGCTTTGAATTTGCTCTTCTGACATATAATATATTATTACCACTTTACTCCTTGCTTATTGCCTCATGTGCATTCACTGTTACACCCATGGAGTCAGCATATTCAATTTAACTAATCTACATGTATTCTACCGTTTATTTAACCATTCTCCACCTTGTAGATTCTTGTGGATTACTTTTTTTCCATGAGTCTTTCAGTGAAAACCTTTTAATGTGTCTGTTTGTGTGCACAAGCGTGAGTGTTTTAGAACCCGGAACGTAGAGCTATGCTGGCTTGTCAGAACAAATTCCCCCTTCCGGTCTTGTAGGCCTTGCCATTTGCTCTCCAGGGGAGGTTCTCATTTGTTTTCCACAAACACAGTGGTTCTCAACCTTCCTAATGCTGTGACCCTTTAATACAGTTCCTCATGTTGTGGTGACCCTCAACTGTAAAATTATTTCTTTGCTCCTTAATAACTCTAATTATGCTACTGTTATGAATTGTCATGTAAATGTCTGATATGCAGGATGTCTGATATGTGACCCAGTGAAAAAAAAGATCATTCGACTCCCCCACCAGGGCTCACAACCTCAGGTTGAGAACCACCGCACTAACAGGATGCAGTGGGACAGGCTTTGAAGCTTTGACTGATTTAAATATTTCTGCTATTCTGTGGGTGTGAAATGGGATATTTGAGTGGTTTTAATTTTCTTGGGACTGACTTCAAGTGAGCATGGGGTGCGTGTGTCTGTGTGCTGATCACTCTCACTGTCTGATTTGCCTCTCCATGGTGGCTTCACGGTTTTATGGTGACTTCTCTTTTTCTTACTATGTGAGGACATTTGATGTTTGCTTTTGATAACAAACTTTTGTCTACTGTATAAACTGTCATCTGTTTCTCTCAGTCAGTTACTATGGTTTTAAGTTTATTTAAGAATGGTGTGTTTGAGGATAAGTTTTCAATATTTCCAAGAAGTGCAAAGAATTAAAACTTATTCTCTAGAGACTTGCATTTCTTGCATCTTTTTTGAGATTATATTCAAAATCTTAACTATTTTATACCCTTTTAAAAGTCTTTATTTTTCATGCTTTAGACTACACCATCTCAATTATTATATTGGATATGATATTAAGCTGTACTGTAGTTTCGTTTATTTTTCTGAATTTGGAACCTCAATAACCCAAGATCATTTTGAATAGTTATATCCTTACTTTATGGTGTACATTTGTTAGTTTTCTGGGCTTGAATCAAGGACTTTATTCATTCTAGGCAAACACTCTAACACTGAACTGTATTCCTAACCCCTTTCCGTATGTCTCTCAGTACTCCTCTAATACTGAATACAGTGTGTGTTCATGCATGCATATGTCACTCTGGGTATCTCTGTTCTTTACTGTGGTTTGATATAGGTCTTGATATTAGGAAAGTCTATGTGGCTATGACAGCCCCTCAAAAGGACTTTAACAAAACCTTAATAATACTTAATAACACCTAGTACATCATTATTTAATAAGTTAGATATTAAAGATACCTTTGAAAATACATACTTCTGTTTGTCTTTACTGGAACACACTGAATTATTTGTGAAGCATTGAAAACAGTAACAATGTTTCAGTCATGAAGTCACAGATAAGTTCCCCAGTGTCTCTGGAAAAAACCTTCTGCCTGTTCTACTGTGAGTAACCCTAGTTAAATTCACTGAGTTACAAACATGCACACACACTCACACACACAATGCCTCTCTAAAAATCCTTACACCCATGCTCCTTTGTGTAACCCTAGTTAAACTTACAGACATGGGTGCGCGTGCGCATGCACACACACACACAAACACACACACAAAGACAGACAGACACACAGGACATGAAGATAGAAGGACCACTACTTGAGAATATATAGAACATCAGTGAAAGTCAGTGGGAGATAAGAGAATTGTTATGGCAGTAAACACAATGAAAATACTTCATATACACATATGAGCATAAAATAAAATCCACCAGTGTAACATATCCTAATTAAAAACACCTGAAAAAGAAGAAAAATAGATTTAAAGGTAAAAGAAACCTGATTTCCTCTTTTTAAGAGCATCATACAGGATACAAAAGACAATTAGGAAACTTTTGTTTTTATAGCTCATAGACATGTGTTGCAGTGGAGAGGGCTGTTTCAAAAGTTGCTTGCAGCACAGCACAGTCATTTCACACCAATGAGTGACTGCGAGGGGATGTTCTCGTTCTCGTGTTCTATGGTCTGATGTGTGTGTTTTCCTCTTAGACACACGTTCCTCCCTTCTGGCTCAATGAAGATCACAGAGACTCGAATTTCAGACAGTGGCATGTATCTTTGTGTTGCCACAAATATTGCTGGGAATGTGACTCAGTCTGTTAAATTAAGTGTTCATGGTGAGTATTGAAAGGCCACGGGGTGCCTTTGTCCATTGGCCCACAGTGAAGCCTGTGTGATGGTGAACATCTATGTTGTATGTAGACTAACTAGAGAGTTCTGAACTATAAGAATGTGGTTTTCTTTTATTTCCTCTGATGAGTTTGTTGCCTCTCTACAAATAACTCCCCCCTTTTCCATTTTCAAATGAAATTAATTACATTTTTGGATCTCAGTTTTTCTAGATGTGTGGCCACTTATCTCTTGTTGTTGTTGTTGATATGTAGTGGGGGAAATGTGTTTAAAATGTTGAGAGCTGGCCACATTCTCACAGAACACGGTACTTTTTAAATAGTCACATTTGACATATAAAGAACTCAGAAACTGGGAAATGCTTCTTTCTGTTGTTATTTGAGGGCTTCACACTTCTCTAACTGAAACGTTTTAATTTATCACAGTCCACCAATTATTCTTCCCTTTGGTGCTGATTGTCTATCTCCATGGCAGGTAGTGTGTAAATACCAAGTATCTAAAGATCAGAGGAGATTGTCTGAGATGATATTAACCTGGCTTTATTTCTAGACCAGCCACAACAATGGCATCCCATTGAACTGGAATTTTGACATCAGAAGAGGGTCCTATCATTTACCAACTCCCAGGCATTAGGTCTATTCCTTAACCTCTCTTATCTTCAGTGTTCTCTTTTTTTTCACAAAATCAAAATAATAATGCTTTCAAACTTAGATGGTTTGTGACTGACAACCCTGAGAAAGTACTCATCAAGGGAAAGAGAATGGCCCTTTTTACAGAGGTACATCCCATGATTAGACTTGTCACTACAGTATACAGTGCAAAAAGATCTTTTCCTAGTGTTCTTAAATTATCTAAATACAGGCTGTGTGTAAATTTTGTCTCTGAAATCAGGGAAAAAAACTTCAAGAGCATTTTCTTAAGTGCCTGTCTTCAATAAAGGGCATAAAAATTGACTCTAGAGAGGGAATTCTGTTTTGCTCTGTGATTGTAGAGGTTCCTGAAAGGGCTTTTAACCTTACATTACTTATAAACTAAAGGAAACTCACTATTGTTAAGTGCTTACTCTTCACCAGGTTTGGGATTAGGAGTATTGTGTTTATCATTTCCTATAATTCTTGAAGTGTACTGGTACTGTGCCTGTAAAGTTTACTTTGCCTGGATTGTTAAAGAAATGGGCCTCAAGAGGCTTGCTGGCACACCCTACATCCCACAGCTAATAAGTGATTGTCCTTTTCTTTTTGTGTGACTTCTTGGTAAGGCATTCTCATTCAGAGTAAAAAAAAATATAAGAATTTTAAAATATTTGATGATTAATGCTCGGTTGTGATTTCCAGTTCCTCCAAAAATACAGCATGGGGCTAGACACATAAAAGTCCAAGTCGGCCAGAGAGTAGACATCCCATGCAATGCCCATGGGTCGCCACCTCCCTCGATCACCTGGTTTAAAAGTGGAAGGCCCGTGCTAATTGATGGAGCACAACAACCTAGTAATCCAGATGGAACTCTGAGCATCGAGCAGGCTGTGGTATCAGATGCAGGTGTATATACATGCGTTGCCACAAACATAGCCGGCCGTGATGAAGCAGAGCTGACGCTACATGTCCAAGGTGGGTTTTGACATAAAACATGCATATCTGGTAGAATGAGGATGAGAAGTTAAACAAGACCTTGCAGGATGTGCAGTCACAGATCTCTTTAGGGAGATTTCTACATATAACTTTAGCTTTGAAGGGAACATTATCCAGAAAACAAACGAATGATACTGTTGCTAAAGCCAAATGAAATTTTTTTGTTTACTTTTGAAACTAAAGTCACTGGTGTAAGTATTGGGAGTGGTCCTATGTAATGGGCCACCCAGCATTTCTGGGTTGAGAGAAATTGCAGCTGGAGCTGGTTGGAGTAACATTTCACCTCATACCTCACCTCAGTTGATCCCTGAGAGGTCATGGCTCAGTGCTCCTCTATTGTTCTTGGCTTTATTGTGAGGTTTGTTATTGAAGTTGGGCCAAGTGTCTGTCATGTTCTAGGCCATGGTGATGAAGTAGTGACAAAAAACTCCTGCTTTCTTGAGCTGTTCTAGTGTGAGAAGACATGAAACAAGCAAAGAAAGAGACAAGGTTCATAGTTAAGGAAAGGCAGAGTGGGTAAATTAAAATAGGATTACTGTTCTGGCAATTGATTACTTTGGCTTGGGTTGCCAGGGAGGAATTCTGTAATTTGCTAAAGTAGTATTTAGGCTGGGGGCTTCCTGCCTGGCAGAAACTAGTCACTAGAAGTTTTCTGTCTCATCCTGTCAGAGGGAAAGTCATACAAAGGCAGGAAGTAAAGATGAGTGGGTATAGAAATCAACACCACACTTAGCCCTTAGTGACTGGGACATCCCAATTGCTGGGGAATGAGTGTATAGGATGCTAGTGGTGAGCTTATTAGTTCATTTATTCACTCAATAAACCTTGTTAAGTAGAGGAGGGAGGGGGGAACTGGGATTGGAATGTAAAACATCAATTAATTCAAAAAACCTTATTAAGTGCCCATATTTAGAATCAAAGGAGAAAGACATTTCTAATACTCTTTCAAATCTCAGAGATACAGAATTACAGATTCTACACAGAGGTTGCATAGAGCATTAATCCAAATGGGACTGTACTCAAAAACAGTACACCTATAAGAAACCTATAAAATGGTTAAGAGCAGGAAGGTTTGAGTGGGGATGTGAGGATAGCAAGTTACAGATATGGGAACATGCATAGTGCTACATGATCGAACAACAGACATACAGCGGTGTTTGGAGACAGGAGACATGCAGAAAATTACTAGGTGACCATAACACCTGCATCAAAGGATAAGGGAACCAGAATGGGAAAGTGTTCAAGGGAAGCTAGAGGCAATGTAATTGTTTTTGTCCTAGAACCACCTACAGTGGAAGACCTGCAACCTCCTTTTAACACTCCATTCCAAGAAAGACTGGCCAATCAGCGCATTGCATTTCCATGCCCTGCAAAAGGTGTGTAACGCTCAGAGGTACCGGTGTGGGTAGCCTGTGGGTTTATGTGATATGGCTACATTTCTAAATCTCCATCTGGAGGTTTTAAAATTCTACCTGCCAATCCTTGCCATAACATTTGAACACAGCTGAAGCTCTCCTCTTTCAAACAAGTCTTTGAATTGGTATTTTTCCATTGTCCATGTTCTATTTCTCTCAGAAAAAGGATCTCCCAATCATTCAAGCTTGCTTAATCTAGGTTTGCTTTTTGTTATTGTTGTTTCTTTTGTTTTGTTTTTAAGATTCCTCAAATCTTTTTTTTAATTTTCATTTCAATCTTTCTGGAAATGTTTTCTTATTTAAATATTGCATTTGATATGTTGACAATATTCCCTATTGTATTTTTTTTTCAAGCCAGGGTTTCTCTGTGTAACAGCCCGAGCTGCCCTAGAACTGGCTCTGTAGACCAGGCTGGCCTTGAACTCACAAAGATCCACCT